GTGTGTGTGTGTGTGTGTGTGTGTGTGTGTGTGTGTGTGTGTGTGTGTGTGTGTGAGAGAGGATTTAGTGACAGCTGGCTGCCTCCATCACTAACTGGCTGTGTGGAGGCAGTGTTTGGGTTAAAGGCAGGCAGATGGCAGAGCTCTTACTGAGACTATTTATAGGCAGGAGGGCATCAGCAGCACTGACAGGGACCAAAACTGACTTTAATAAACAACCTTTTACTGGTGAGTCTGCTGCGAGAGGGTAAAATAGATCAAACGTATTAAATTATGTATTAGAATTGGCCAGGTGACTGAGTATCTGTTACTTAGAGACGTCTAATGCAATTAATAGTGTCAGTAATTAATTATGAAGTCTGATTGATAGTGTTATTGTAGTGTTGTTATAATGTGATAATAGTGTTTTTGTGGCAGGAAAGTGACAAAGTGTGTCTGCATGTTAGTGTTACAGTGTGCACACTAAAAACTCTGTGACATATTACTAGAGAAATATGTTATTATGGCTCCGCCCACTGGGGCCGGAGGCAGACTGTTCTGTGTGTGTGTGCAGTGTGCATCAGATATCTCCTGATGAAATTACACTGCCTAATAATAATAATAATAATAATAATAATAATAATAATAATAATATAAAACTAGCTTTTTTCTAATTCCTCCACAGTACAAATAAAATACCGGTTATATGATGTGGTAAATATAAAAGAGGAAGTCATGTTTAGACATTGTTGATTTATTTACATACAGTACTTCTTAGTAGAGACTGAGGTTTTTGAAGGTCGATACTGATACAGATTATTTTGACATCAGTCTAACCCAGTGTTTCCCAAAGCTGGGGTCGGGACCCAAAGTGGGGTCCCGAAACATCAAGGTGGGGTCCTGAAAAGATATTCAGAATTAATTACATTTTGCCTTAGTTGTTACAAAGGAGTGAGGTTAGTATATTTAAAATAGATAAATGTAGTATAAAAATATTGTTACTATGTCCATGTTTAGTTGACCTGATACAAATGTTTATCATCCAAAAATATCTGGGGCCACAGGTCTCTGCTACTGTTATTTTGAGGGTCAAAAGCTGAAAAGTTTGGGAACCACTGGTCTAACCGATACACCGATATGTGCAGCTGATTATTATTTTTTGGCCAATTCTTGAAGCAGACGCTGCTTTTTCTTCCTCCTTTAACCCGTTAACAGTCAGCCCTGAAATTCCTTTTCAGTTTTTGTAAGGCTGTCAAACTAAACGTAAGAACTGAGGGAAGTTGTTTTGTAACATTTCTACGCACACTYGAGATATTTCAGTTAAAAACTACAAGCAGTTGAAGATATAACTATGAAAGTGAAAATAAACCCTAATTTTCAAAATAAAAGCCCCCGATTGCATCTGGAAACGTTCCAAGGTAGAAACTGTACCTCTCTCAGTTTTTTGTACATTTATTGTTCAGGTTCTTGAAATAATTCCTCCTTTTTTAAATCTGAGTTTTTTCCTTTAATCTACAGCTGATGATTTCCTTTCCTCCCCATCAGGAAGATCAAGACCAACTACTTCATCGTGTCCTTGGCRTTTGCCGACCTGCTGGTGTCGGTGCTGGTGATGCCGTTCGGTGCCATCGAGCTGGTGGACCAGRAGTGGATCTACGGGGAGACGTTCTGTCTGGTTCGGACGTCGCTGGATGTTCTCCTGACCACAGCTTCTATCCTGCACCTGTGCTGCATCGCTCTGGACAGGTGAGTCCAAACCTTTCCTTCGTTAGCTTCACTTTGTTCTGGTCCTCRTGTTTCTGGGATTGTTTCTGCGATAGTTGTAAACACATCAGCACGGCACAATTGGATCCATCCTTCAATCTATTTTTTTATTTCCTGACCAGGATCAGGTCATGTTTCAGGTTGTTTTGGTCCAAAGCCTGATGTAGGATCTAATCTCTGCAGCAGGTCCAGGGTCCGACTTATTCTCTCCTCCTGGGATGAATCTGTATGGGGTGTCGTTTGTAAAGTTATACAGTCAAAAATTACCAACAATATTTTTGTTTTATTTAGCCTTTTATAAGAAAAAAAGAACAGATTTATTTTTCAAAGTCAGTTTTTCACCATATGATTCATATATTTATAAATGTCATAGTTTATAAACTAAATATTTAACTTACAAATTAAATATTTAGTTAACAAGCTAAATATTTAACTTGTGACTTAAATATTTAGCTAGCTACCTAAATATTCAACTTGCTAGCTAAATATTTAAGTTGTAACCTAAATATTTAGGTTACAACTTAAATA